ATGGAAGCAGATTACAGGGAAGAAACATTATTGTCCCTATAGTTAAATATATAAGGCTGATCTGTGGGACTAGAGAGTGCAGGTGTGTAGAAGTGTGCTGAGTGAATGTTTGGGAGTGTAAACAGTCTTATGATTCCCAGCATCCTCCAGAGGCTCCCCTTGCTCCTGGCTATAGAGAGAGAAAAAAATTCATGAGGTCCTGTCTCTCTCCACTTCTAGCTTCTTTGAAACTGAGGTTTTGGTGTGGCCCTCTGTTTCTTTGATCCTTTCCAAGGGAGCACATCTAACTACCAAGTTGCACAGCAGTAATGGAGCATATCTTAGAGAAGGCCATGCATTTTCCTTGGTGGTTACTATGCATCTGTAGCCTTTCCTTCAAGGCCTATGAACTTAGCTTAACTTAAATGTAGGAGGGTATCTTGTTTCCTGTGAATTGGTTCAAAAATACAGTTATTATAAATGTAAAAACACAGGATCAAGTAAGAACTCCTCAGTCTAATTTTGGAAGATGAGGAAGGCTTTTTTCAAGAAGTTTAAAAAAACAGGCACTATGATAGGCTAGAGTTTATATATATATATATATATATATATATATATATATATATATATATATATATAATTTTTTAGTTTTTGATGGACCTTTATTTTTTATTGATTTATATATGCTGAGAATCAAACCCAGCACCTCACACATGCTAGGCAAGTACTCTACCACTGAACTACAACCCCAGCCTGAGTTTAAATATTTTATATACATATTTTATGAACTCCTATTATATACAACTAAAATTACTTTGTACATTCAGTACTAGAAGTTTGTTTTATTTACTCATATGCAGTCAAAGCTTGTGTTTGTCTAGTTTTAAAATACCTTGGATGCCTTTCTTAGAGCTATTTTGTGTGGTAATTATTAAGTTATTTGAGAGAAGTCAGGTCAAAGTGTTCAAGAGATGAAATTATGTAGCCATTAAGTTGTAAGGTTTCTGATTATCTTCTTATTTGGGGGAGTTTTCATCTCAGAGTCATAAATAAAGGAGAGATGACATAGCCATTTGTATGAACTAAGGCACTGGCTTCAGCCACTTAAGCAAATTATTCTATGCCCAGTTTTTAATTGCCTGGATCCAGTCGTGTGAATTAGCTCCATTTATTTTTGCTTTTTGCACAAGAAAAATGGGACACACATCTCATTAACATTATTTAACTCATTAGGAGAATCTTTAGTGCTATTCTAAACATTCCATTCTATAAAGTTGATTTAGATAAATCCCTTAGTTGAACCTGTTCTCTCGAGCTGGAATCTTCTTCCTGAACCTCTGCATCTCTGACTTTTGTGCATCCTTGAAGATCCTACTTAGGACCTGCTAGACATCTCCACTATTCAAGTTGGGTTAGTTGCCTGCTGTGAATACATTCCATTATGATTTCTTTTTTAATATTTTGAAATTTAGAAATTTTATTTTTTATTCTTCTTTTTATGATTCCTATCACTTGAAATGAAATCAAATAATTATCTGTTGAGGTATCTGTCTCCCCATGAGATATGAGCTTTCTGAGGATAGGAAATTTCTTATTCAACAGTGCACACACCATACTCAAAGAAAATGATGAATGCAAGGGAGAAATTACACTCAAAATTCAGGGCACTGGGATGCACCCAATAATGTTTTCAGAATAAATATGTACAAATATCTTAGTTATTTTTTTAGCAGAGAAAAGAACCTATAAAATGCTTAACATATATGAGTATTAGACTCCAAAATTCACGATTTTTAACTGGTGACTTTCCAAAACCCAAATCCATGCAAAGTTGACCTGATAAAATGATTGTGAGCCACTTTGATGAATTAAATACACAGATTTGAATTCTAAAGGATAACTTGCTATGCATATTGCAAACCAGTAATTATGCTATGGGCTAAACTAAATGAACAACCAAATTGAACCTTTTTCTACCTTCTCATAAACTTTTTCTGTGATAGAGTGATAAATTATTTTTAGCCATCTATTGCTGTGTAACAAACTACCCAAAACTTATTGTCTTCAAACAACATTTTCAACACACTTAACGTTTGCATGATTCAGGGATCTGGATATGGCTTAGTTGGGTCCTCTGCTTCAGGGTCTCTCAAAGATTGAGAAGAATCCACTTAGCAGCAGACTGTGAAGTGAATTATTGACAGGATTAACTTCCTTGTGAGCTGTTGGATGAAGATCTTAGCACCTCGCAAGCTGTTGGTTAGATGTCCCCAGTTCCTTGCCATGTGGGCCCTTCCATAGGACAACTCAAAACATGGGAAAGAGCAAACAAGAGGCAGAAGAGAGAACCAGCAAGAGAGAACATGCTAGCAAGACCTAAGTCCCACTGTTTTCTAACCTAATCTTGAAAATGAGTTGCCATTACTTTTGCCATATTCTCTTGGTTACTAGGTCCAGTCTACACCTAAGGGGAAAGGATTACATAAGAGTTTGAATGCCAGGAGGTGAGGATCATTAAGAGCCATGTCAGAAGCTGCCCAAAACAAAACAAAAAAAAGAAATCAAGAAAAAAAAATGGATAACATAATACTCGGAGGTACTAAAACAAAACATACTGGTGTGATTGAACGACAAACAGAATGGATATGTGAGAGAGAGGGGAAAGTTGAAGCCCAAGTTCTTTATTGCTTTATTCTTTAATCCTTCAATATCCACTGACTGTTTATTTGGTGCCAAGGAAGATGATACACTCAGTACCCTAGAGAGGAATCAAACTTTATTTCATGAATGAAGCAGTTTACAGATTAATGAAGGAAATCAGCATGAGGAAAACCCAGTGTGGAAAATGTCATAATACAAAGGATTTGATAGTGTTTTTGGAGTTGGATGAGTAGAGTGAGTGTCAGGAAATTTTACTTTGAATTTCTGAAAGTTGTACAGAGATCAATGGAAACAAAAGCCTGTGGAAAGGAATAAGGTTTGCTTATTTGGGATTTATGAAATCAGGATTTTGCTAATCACTTCAATTTACAGAAAAATCATTAAGTGGCTGGAAAAGAAGCTATTTTATTTATTTAAAAATTTTTTTAGTTATACATGGACACAATATCTTTATTTATTTTTATGCTGTGCTGAGGATCGAACCCAGGGCCTCACACGTGCTAAGCAAGTACTATACCACTGAGCTACAACCCCAGCCCTGAAAACAAGCTATTTTAACTGTCACCAAGTATCATCCTCAATGCCAAAAGGATGAGTAGGAAGTCAATTTCCAAAGTAAGTAGGGATGACAAGGGAAAGATAACTCAGGAAACTGCTTATGTCTCCTTTGGTATTAGATGGCCTGGGTGGGGTGGGTTTATTTGAATTCTACGACTGTCCTTGATGAAATTTTGAAAGATGCACATATTGTCATTAGGAATGTAGTTGAAGCCTCTCTTCTCCTCTATTTCTCTAACCCCAGGAACTTGGTCAGTTCTGGGTGCCTTCTTTTAACCTGAGGCTCTATTGGGCCAACCTTAATTGGCAATGTCCCCACCAGACACCCTTGGAGATATCTCTTTCCTTTCATCCATCAGACAGAAGTGTAGGAGGTGACTTGGGGTCAGCATCTAGACTAGCAGAGAAACTGATACATATGCCACCCAATTTTAAGGCCAGAGTCTATAGTAGCCATAAAAATTTGATAGTGACATGGCAGGGTACATGTGTGTGTGTGCTTGATTATGGAATATGATTGCATTATTTTACTTCTAATTATTATATCTTTTGGCTTTGCTGTCACCTCAGTTATGTCTTCACAAATATATTTCCTCTTTTTGTGACAGAAGCATATACTTATTTCTTTTTTTTTCACTCTTTAAACTTCTTTATTAAGTTTGTTGCATAAAACACATTCATTCTCATATTGACAATTTTTGCCATGAATAAAAGCAACAAAAATAAGGCAATAGCAAGATATGCTTCACATATAAACAGTCATGTTTAAGAATAGGAAGTCTGGATCCCTGTACAACAAAAAGATTAGGAAGCAAAATATGAATAAGTACTGTATTTGGAATATACCCAAAATATATGTGAAAAGACAGTACACTCATAATATAGCTTTCTTAGGTTCCTTTATGATGCATAATTCCTTAATCATCCACTTGTGAAAAAAGAACGAATATTAAAAATGCAAAATTTAAATGACATTTATCTTCACAAATATCAACACTAAACTCAAAGTGGCAACTTCATTGACTCTAAATGTTAAATGTTTCCAAAGTATAAGACAATCTTAATTTTTTTTTTAACCCTCTGCATAGGGTCTGCAATAAAGGGTAGATCATTTATTCTACTTGCAAGGAGACTAGGTCTCAACCTGCACTTAGATGGCATAAGCAACAAAACACAGCAAACAAATATCATTGAATAATGCCTATTCATATAACACCACCTAGCTGAACTGTGTTCTACTTATATGCCAAGCCTATTAAACCACCAGTATAATGGAAGCTTACACATCATGCAACAGAAGTACTTAACCACACATGTGTTAGAAATTTCTAAATCTCTGCTCCTAACACAATTTTAGTACATCTATAAAGTACAGCAGGTCATTTAGAAAAAGAAAAATAAAACATACCTAATCTTTGCAAGTACAAATTGTTTTAGAATATGAAGAATGTTCAGATATAAAATTTGAACTAAATATGTTTTTTTCTAAATATGATTTATAAGGGTTTTCTTAAACATAGGTCTTAGGTATATGATCTATACAAACTTACAGTAGTGTTTATTCCAAATAAAGATTTTTTTCCTATTATGATATGATAATATAACCATTTTATGAATGAACTATTAAGGCTTAAGGTGTAAACATGTTGGAAGGCAAACAATGAAGAAATTACTGTTCATTTACAAATGTGTATCATCTCATAATAGGCCCCTGAATTTTCAAATTTTCATGTCAGTATACATTTACATCTTAAATTCTTAGGAAAGGCACAAGTTTTATGTAAAAAAAAAAAGCAGCAAAATTTTAAACCCACCAATTTATTGAAAAAGCCATTACTTTTATTAGAAACAAGCGCTTCTGAAGATATTGGCAACAAGTCATAGTACAGACACATACTTCATACAGTGTAACTCTCTCTCCCTTCAATTATATTCCAGCAGGAGGTGGCACACCTCCTTGGCTATGGGAAGCAGAAGTATTTGATGGACTATGTAAGCTTGTCTCTTTGTACACAAACCAAGCATTTCCTCCCCAAAGTATCATATTCAGAAAGCCAAAGATAATCATGGGAAGTTTACGACTATCCCGGTATAGATTTGTGTAACCAACATAAAGCAGAAGGGCAGCAATGCAGTACAAGAATACAAAGACTGCAAATGTAACATAGAATTGTGCAGAAGAGGAGTAATCTCCTATGAGGAAATGACTTGACCAATTTCCATTGCACACATTTACAACAGGATGTGAACGAAATGATGCTTGATTCAACCTGAATGGATAACCGAAAGTAGCTTCAACAGTATGATTTTCAATAACTTTTAAAGGAGGACAATTCACTAGAATTTCTGTTTTGCCCTTAAAACCTCCACAGGTGGCAAAGGCAAAGATGGAAGCAATCCACTGCAGGACCTTGATGAAGCCGATCGGCTCCTTGAGCGGGTTGAGGTTGATCTGGAAGGCGGACATCCTCTGAGGGAAGGAGGGAAGAAAGTCAGGACGGCTGGGCGAAGGAGGCATATACTTATTTCTGAGTTTAATTGTTTTGGCATCTTTCAATTTCTCTGCTCTGCCAAGTAATTGTGTCCTATTTAGGTACTTATTTTTCTAAGTGTTAGGGGTATATCAAAAATAAATCCAGGGCTGGGGTTGTGGTTCAGCAGCAGAGCGCTCGCCTCACACATTCGAGACCCTGGGTTCGATACTCGGCACCACATAAAAATAAATAAATAAAACAAAGGTATTGTGTCCAACTACACCTAAAAATAAATATTAAAAAAATAAATCCAAGTGCTAGAGGAGAATTATAGTTCAGAGATGGTGACAAAGCCCACATTCGAACCCAAAGCCTGCGTTATGTTTTTTTGTACCAAACCAAGCAAATGAGCCAGTAGATGAAATTGTGGTCTAGAATCTTTGAGGAATCTGCAGTGTCAGGAGAGCTTCTGGGTATTGAAAACTGAGTAAATGGGTTGATTAGCATGCTGTCATCCTTGGAATGAGTGGATAAGGAAGATGAGCAGGGAGAGCTGCTACAAGGAAACTATTGCCTTTGTGATCCCCTACACCTCAGCTCCTGGTTGTCTCTAGTGAGAGAGAAAGGAGCCCTCGAATAAGAAAGCATAAGCATCATAAGTTAAAGAGTTAAAAGTCTCAACAAAATGATACATTCTTCATTTATGTGTGAAGACATACAAAACAAAAATCACCACTATGATGGCTTTCTAAAGCATTTACCAATACTCCTTTCTGTAGCTTTCTGTATTTGTCTATTTTTGACATAAGATCTACTTTCCCTTCACCTATCCAGAGTCAAAAGACCCTCTTTAGATCACACAGTGGTTCTCAGATCTTACTTTCTTTTTAAATATAAAATAAGGTCTTAAATGTCAACATTTTCCGGAACTGGAATGAATTATTCTCAGTCTCCGTTAAAGCAAAAAACTTTCCTTCTTTTTTCCTGCAAAGCAGTTTTTATAAGTGACATAGTCTGATTGTTAAAATCTGAACCACAACAGCAGCCTGTCTAAAATTACACTCTAATTATGTGCTTATATATCTGTCTCTCTGACTAAATTGGGAGCTCCCTGTAGGTTAGAGTCCTACGCCATTCACTTATGTACTGAAATGCATATAGCAGTGCCTACACTTAGCAAATTGCCCACAAATGCTTGGCCACATAAAGTCATTCATTCATTCATTCATTTGCACATGTTATTCAATCTCCATGAATTTTGTGTTCCTTATTTTTTATTAGGCTAGCAGTATAGAAAGCACCTGACAAATTATCAGATACATAGTAGATACTCAATAAATGATATGACATTCCTTCCCCCTTCTCAGAGATGCAACTCATCAAACCAAAGAAGTAGATATTATCTAAGGAAGATGAGTGTTCTAGAATCATGTCCTCATCTGTTTTAAATTCATCTGTGTCAATTTCATGCTTACCTGCCTATACATCCCCATTCTTGGCTGGGGAACAGCGGGAAAAGGCTTTCTGCAGCCTTCTGCTTTCTGTATCTTACATGAACGTGATTTGTGTACAGACGACAGGAAGTCTTGTTACTCTTGCTGGGTGAATGGAGCTGTAAATAACCTCTACCTTCCACACATGATTTGTTCTGGTCCAGGCCCCTTTTTTATTCATCCTTGGTTAAACATCCTCTCTTCTAATTGCTGTACGTGCCCTTTTTTGCATCTGAATTCATCAAAGACCTTTATTACTCATTTTCCACTTTGATCAGGGAAGCTCAGAAATCTTTAATGCTTACAAAATGGAAACATGATAAAATATCACATGTCACTAATATAGTCAAATTAATACATGCAATTTGAAATCTTATCAATGCATTAAAGAACTTCATTTTAGACCTCTTTTTAAAAGGTCAGACTCATTAATAAAAGGTCTGATTTTTTTTTTTTTAGAATGGTTTTGCTTATCAGGATGCTGAGGGACTAAATCTTGAACTTGATTAAAGAATTTAGGTCCATTGTTCCTTGTCTGCAGTTTTGAAATGCTCCAAATTCTGACATTAACTAAAGTTGTTTTGTAACTTAATCAATGACAAAATTCCAGCTGAACTAAAGAGGGGTTATTTATTCTCTCTCTCTCTCTCTCTCTCTCTCTCTCTCTCTCTCTCTCTCTCTCTCTTTTGTACCAGGGATTGAACTCAGGGGCACTCGACCACTGAGCCACATCCCCAGCCCTATTTTGTATTTTATTACAGACAGGGTCTCACTGAGTTGCTTAGCGCCTCCCTGAATTGCTGAGGCTGGCTTTGAACTTGTGATCCTCCTGCCTCCACCTCCTGAGCCGCTGGGATTACAGGCGTGGGTCACTGCGCCTGGCCTTTATTGTCTCTCTTTATGGAAATTTTCATGGAAAATATATCAATGTTTGATTACTGCATGGTGCCCCAGGCCCTATTGCAAATATTACTTAATATATAGTTTAAAAGGGAGGGAGAATAGGAATAGCATGGATGGTGAAAGGAGACCCTCATCATTATACAAAATACATGTATGAAGATGTGAAAAAAATATATATAGTTTATGTTCTCTCTAACCTTCTTTTCTTTCTTTTTTTTTTTTTTTTTTTTTTGGTATTAGGGTTTGAACTCAGGGGCACTCAACCACTGAGTCACATCCCCAGCCCTTCTAACCTTCTTAAAATCTGAAAAGTCTGGGTTTTAAAACATACTTAGTCCCAAGAGTTATCAAACTTGATCCCAGAGGTGTTACTGTGTGGAATTAAGTTTCATTTTTAAATTGGTTTTAAGGAATATTCAGTTGCTACCTACAAAAATACTAATGCATGAAGTAATTAATGTAATGCCTGGGATTTGCTAAAATAATATAGGAGAGAGGAGGTAGGTGTCAAGAACTTTGAAGGGCATCAATATTTGCCCCTCCTTTCAAGCTCACAAGGTAGTCTGCTAGTTTCATGGATGTTGGCAAAAGACACAATACTCTCGGGTCAGCACAAAGGACTTTATTATTCACAGACCAGAAAACAGCATGAGTTTTATGTTCACTCAGGTCTTTCTTACTATCTAGGTCCTATGGGAGCAATGTGAAGTGGCCCAAGTGGGTATTGTCCAAACAGTGGGTTTGCATCACAGCTGGGAAACCCTGAGCTTTGAGATCCTAAATCTTTTATTCTAGACATTAAGCAAACCTGCCTGGCATTGCCTTGGAGGGAGATATTGTCTTTATTATAATATTGTCAGTAAACAAATCTGCCTTCTGCTCTGAAAACAGACTGTTTTTCATGCAAGATTGTTCACTATACACACATTTTTGAAAAGATAGTCCATAACAAAGGTAGTCAGCCCCTGTGCTCACAAGATAGGCAGGCATAAATGCAAGACACCCGTGGAGAATTGTCTTCCGATGGTGGTAGGGGTAGAGTGAGGGAAATGAATATGTTTATCTGTGAGTTGATAATGACTAAAAATGAGTGATGGATATACTGGAGACACACACACACATACACACACACATATGAGTGCATAATGATTAAAACTGAGTGATGGATACATTGAGGTACAGTCTGTTTTTGTATATTTTTAATTTTCCATGAGTAATAAGTTTAAGAAAATAATAGCTACTATATGTGAAAGTACTAGGTGACACTTTCCATACAAACCGCAAAAGAGAAGATCCAAAGAAACAATGTTAACTCTCCACCCTATCACATCTTTACTTCACTGAGCAAATGGGTCACAGCAAATGTTCTTGGAGGCTGATTATGTTATGACTTGGTAGAGTATTGGTAAGTTCCGTATGATTGATTCAAATCTCTACCAGTTTGATAACTACCAATTGTGAAAGTCAGGAATATTGGGGAATGGTAGAAATGACCTTTCAGTTTTTAATTTGGGGGCAGCACAATACACATATCACTTATACATAAATATATACACTACAATATATATATAATAGATACATATCATGGATGCTACTGGTGAGTCGGCAAAGGAGACTTTATTTATGTACAAGGCTTTTTGTTCACATGAATAGTAACCAGACTGTCAAGAAAGGAAATTTTGGAAATAATGCTAATGTAGGTGTTTTCAGAAAATATGTCTTGAAAATAAATATGGTTTAGTAAAACAAATATATTCCTACTCCATTCCTAAAAATGGAGGTGTCTAAACTGAAAAATGAATGTCTTATTCCCCAATACCAAGCACCAGCCTCTTTCCAATTTCCTATTTTCCTCCAAAGAGGTCATTGCTGTTAAGTGTTTTCTATGAATTCTTCCAGGCTGGTTTCTATAAATTTACATACATTAATATGTAAAAGTACAAATATAGTTTTTTAAAGCATAAATGGAATTATACTGTGCATATTTTTCTATACCTTGCTTTTTTCATTTTAAAGTTTCTTGAAGACATTTTGATTTCAGTATATATGAAACTTTCCATTTTTAAATATGTTGCACAAAATTCATAGAATGGATATATCATATTTGAAACATCCAACTTAAGCCCCTCTTTCACTGCTGCTAACAATTTTCCATAGTTATTATGAACACATATCACAACTGCATTCCATGCCAGATAAGCTTCATGGATGAATTCCTGCCCAGTGGGGTCTCTAATCTAAGATAACCTTGACACAAACATGTACCAAGAATGCATGGTCTTCATGGATCAAGAGTTTTGAGTGCTTTAAAAAATTATTTCCCCCAATCATAGAGGAAAGGAGATTAACAAGGAACAGGATATTTACATAGTCTTGAAGTACCTCCTTGCTGGCAGCTGGAAGTTTGCTAGGGGCCCCAGCAAACTTCCAGCTGCCAGCACCTCCTCATCAATTATTTATTAGTCATAAAAGGAAAACTTATGCAATAAAGAAGCCAGACTTTAACCAAATGACTAACAGTAACATCACCAATAAAGCCAAATGGCATTATATACTTCTACTATGAGACCCAGAGAAAGTACAATATCATATATGTAGTATTCTGGCCAGATATGTATTAGTTGAATTAATTAATGAGA